GACGCGGGGGAAGGACCTGGCGCTGGGCGCCGCCGCCTGCGCCCTTCCCTGGAAGGGTGTGCTGCTTCCCCATGCGTCCCGGCCTGGCTTTTTGCACCCCAGTTTTCCTGTTCAGTGTCCTTCTCTTCTGGAAGGCTCTGCTTTACCCCTGCTTTCTGTTTCTGAACACGCCGTTCATTTTCAGATGTTTAATGATTTCACTTTTCCTTAGAGTCTCTAAATTAGCCTAGCTGTGGCTCACAGACTAGCGTGTCCACCTCCGAGGTGTAAATAGGGAGAGAGCTGAAGCAAGGGTGATTTTAGTTTTCGGGTTTTTTTTTTTTAAGCTTTAGCAGTGGTGTAAGTCTAAAGGTCAGTGGCGTGTCTAGTGTATTTTAACACAATATTTTTTGAATAATATCAGTTTCTCTGCTGCTATTTACACTACTGGAATACAATTTCACTGTAGTTACTGCCAATTTTTTTTTTTAAATTGCATGAGTACTTAAGGTTTTTTATTGTAGTCTGCCTGTAGCCTCATATTCAACATCCCGAGATCTTAAATTTGTTAGAAAGCTTTATAGAAGTCTTTGGCATTCCTTTAATTATAGAGTTTGAGGGAGTTTTGAAATATTACCTCGAAGGAAAACTGAGATGTAATAATTCTGATAACATTAATAATTTTTCTGTTCTTGGGATTTTTTTTTTCCTTTTACAGAAGAATGAAGCATGTTTGTGGCTCTTGAGTAATAGATTAATTAAACTTTTTGGTTTAGAGTGGCATAGAACAAAGATGAAGGTGGAGCTTCCACTTGATTCAAGTAGATCTGTGGTTTTGAAATGAGGAATCAGATTATCTGATAACTGCTTTCACAACAAACATCTTGTTATATATTACTTAAGTTTTAGTAACTTCTAACTGGTAGTTTTTAAGTGAAAGACACTTCAAAATAGAGTTGAAGAAATTTACTTCTGATTCTAAGAATTTGGAAACCTAGCTAAGTTGCCAACATTGGAGGACACAGGAATGATTATTTTTTGGCCCTGTTTTCATTTAATGGACACTCTGATGATGGCACTGGCTTGTCAGCTATTTAGTACACCCAAAATGAACTCTTGTTTTCCCTTTTGTCCTAGTCCGTCCCTGTTAGTGTGGAATTAGAACAACAGTGTGACAGTTTACTCTGTTATAACTTTTTATCACAAAACTTGCATCTGTAGACTGGAATGTCTGATAAATATTGGTTTTCTTGCAATGGGAAGGATGCTTAACGAGGCCAGATAAAACAGCAACATCCTTTTTACTGTAGTAGTCCTTTGAATTTAGACACAGATACCAGTTTGTTAACTTCTCAGGACATTACTGCTTAGCATAAATCTTGTCTGTAATGGCTGTCTAGTCAGGTTGGAAACGTTGAAAACAAAAGCAAAAAACTCTTTTATTTATACTTTAAAAGCATATCTGTGCTAAAGGTTAGTGTAAAACTTTTAAGACTAGAAATAATTATTCTTTTGAAGGTGCTAGTGAGAAGAAAGACATATTCATTAAAGGAAAAATACATAGCTAAACCTTTAAATTGTTTTAAACTGTGATAAATTGTATAGTTGCTATACAGCAGAAACTTAAAGGGGAAAGAACAGTGTTCCTATACTTTCTCATAATTTGGTCTACCACCTCCTTTTTATTGAATAAATAATAGGAACCATTAATGTCTTGTCAGTGGGATTAGTGTCTGTTCTACTATATAATTTTTTTTTTCCTCAAGACTTACTTATTATGGACTTGAACTTGGGCTAAGCCTTTTTAAGCTTCACATGCTTTAAGTCATTTTCATTGCACCTCTCTTCCTTTTTTTTTTTTTTTTTTTTTAAGAGGAGATTTACTTTAACTCTGTGGAAAAACAGAGTTGTTTTATGTTCCTGAGCAAGTGATGAGTGTCTTGCTGTAGTGGCCTGGTTGTAGAGTTTAGAACTCCTTACTACTCCTTACTTTTTTTTTTTTTAGTTGAACTGTGAATGTAAATGTTTTTACTCAAAGGAGGTTGAAGTTATCCTCTTATGGCTTAGGGAGGTGAAAAACTGCATTAGAAATTGTAGAAAGACAAGAAACAGTCTTGTGCCTTACCATTGTTTGCTATAATAGGTGTTGTGGATTTTTTTTTTGTAATAGTAGTGGTTTTTACAATTAGACTGTGTGTGACAGTATGTTTTTTATGTGGATGCTATTCTGAAACAGCAGTCTGTTTAGTGGAAGGGTACCCTAAAGGAAATTTTTCTGAATGGGGTGTTCGAGGAAAGTTCTCCCTTTGTGTAGATAAGGCCATGAAAAGATGGAAAGAAACTTTTGAGAAGAAAAAAAAAAAAAAAACCGACACAAAAGCCAACTTCCCTTGATCCTGTGTTCTTGAATACATTTAGGATCTTGTGGAGATCTGCAGAAGATAAGCAATTCTATAGCCCGGTGCTGAAAATTTAAATCCTGGTTAAAAGTACTATATAAAAGTGAAAGTAATCTTTTCTGCTTTCAGTTGAAAGTGAGAGTACTGCCCTTGTTATTTTTGAGGTTCTGAAGATATTTTTCCTTTTACGTAAACAACAACAAAAACCTAACAAAAAACCACCCCACACAAGAGCAAGATAAACAGTCAATTATGTTAATCTGACTTTCTCTGCAAAACAAATGTGACCAATCACTTTGAAAAGATAAGACTTTTGTTTGCTTGTGTTTAGCCTTTTTATGGTGCTTATCTAGTTAGTTTCATTGTCGTCTGTCCTGTCCCTGTCTGGTCCCCCTCCGACTTTTTTTTCCTTTCACGGCATGGGGAGAGTTATTAACTCTTAAAATACAGAACACAGAGCATATTTTAAAAACTGTAAAATACAGTGCCTCTGTAACAGTGGCCTTTTGCTATTGAAATAATGGGAAAACAGTCATGAAGGAAGGCACAGATAGAACGTAACTTCACGGGGAGGAGAACCACAGAGGGCTGTGTGAGACCTTAGGCTGGTATCTGTCCATCTGGCCAGGGCAGGTGGGTCATAGCTGGTCTTGAATGACAGGTTCTTTAACAGTGAGATTGTCAGAGGCTCCCCCTTTGGGAAAGGGACTTTTAAAGAGAGCTTTTCTCAGTGACCCAGCACTCCTACTACTTGTGAGTTTTAAAGTAACAAATAACCCCCCAAACTTAAAATCTTGTATGTTATTGCTGGGAGGGGGGCGGGACAGGACACGGAGGAACTTCGTCAGATTGATTGCTGGTTAATGGCATTAGAAGTTCCTTTTTAAATTGTATCTCTACCATTTAAATATGGGGCAAATGATGTTACAAAACAGATACACACTCTATTTACATTTTGAAAATAAAACCTTGTAGGTCCTTTCAGGTAATTTTCATAAGCATCTCTCTTCAGGAAATAACTGTCTGCATTATAGTTTTTCAGATTTCCAGTTTTCTGGTTTTTTGGTGGTAACAGCCAACTGGAAATGTGAGTTGTTAGTCGATTTCTGGTAGCTAAAGATGTGTGGAGAGATCTACCTGAAAGGTTAAGAACTGGATGGTCTTGTAATGCCTCCTTTCTACAAGCAGATTACCTAAGCCAAGAAAACATTCAGTGACCATCACTGAAAATCTGTAGGTGTTTCAGAGAATACTGTAATTGTTTGAGCCATCTGTCTATTAAACTGTCTTATATGAATCTGTCTTAAAGAGTATTTCTAAAGAGTTGTGGCAGCATTTTTTGTGTGCACAATGGTAAAAACTTCACTATTAATTAGTCCATTACCTTTCAGCTCCAATGGCGATTCCTCCATCATATGTAGACCTTGGCAAATCTGCCAGAGATATCTTCAATAAAGGATATGGTAAGAATAGTACCTTTTATAAAGCATGATGTTTGTGGTGCAGCAATGAATTACCTTTTTAAGCCTGTATTTAAAATTGAATGCTCAAACGCCCATGTTTCTTAGGAAGGGGAAGGTATGTTGTTTTTATATCACTACTGTCAATTAACAGATCATTGGAGACTTTGTGGGCTGTTTTGATGTGAAGTCTGTTAAATCTTACTGCTTTAGCCACATAAATGTCAGAGGTGTACAAGTATGCAAGAATATAAACATCAAGTGTAATTTAATTTGGGAATACACTTTCATTACTGATCTGTCAGTGCTGCATTTTTTGATGTAGAAAGGGTTATATACCACTGTAACATTATTGCCATTTTTGAAACAGAAAGAGTAGTAGCTATTGGGATAAAGAATCCTTCAACATTTTAAAATTATTTAAACCAGGCAGTTGCATGGTTAAATTCTGCTGTTTCTTTCTGGTCTTTGGGAATGCATGTGGGAGCTTTTTCATGAAGACTGTCGCTCAGCTCTAAGGGTGACAATGTGAATTGACACTTTCATAAAACCTACTTATATTACAGTTCCAATAGCTGTGTATTTCCCAGTGACTTCACTTTCATGTTTTTTTACTTTGACATATTTCTTCTTGGTGCTAAGAGGTGGATTTTGTGCATTGGGATAGCTCTTCAAATGGCATTGACTACAAAGCCAGTGTCATCCCGGGGACAGAAAAGAATGCTTTTTGTCTGTCACAAAAGTTATTCTTGGAAGTCATTGTAGTTAAGTGTACAGTGTGCAACTGAGAGGCTACTCCCTACTTTCTGTGTGGTGATGATAGAACTCCTGGCTTGTTCTAGAGAGGCCTCCTCTACCTGCTGTGGCATCTAAAATTTGAGCATTGCTGAAGTCAGCCTATGGTGGGTTTTATATATGTATGTATGGGGCACACTGCTGGGACTGCTTGGAAAACCAGCTTCTTGGAAAATGTGCATGGTCTTAGCTAAAGCCTACTGGTGTAACTTGGACTTCTGTTTGTAAAGGTTTTGGGTTGGTGAAACTGGATGTGAAAACAAAATCTGCAAGCGGAGTGGTGAGTTTAAATACCTTTTATTCATTAAATCTTTTCTGGATATGTTCTGATATTTAATTAGAAAGGACACCTTCCAGATGCTGTTAAGTATTTTATAGGTGTTGTGAATGATAAACTGGTGTAAAATAATTTCAGAAGCCACTAAGGATCTGACTTTATTCTATGCGTAACAGAGGTACCGCATTGTTTAGTAATCTTTGTAAAATAAAAAGGTTTGTATAGTTCTCCCTTGTCTTGTGTCTGAAGGTGAACAAATAGCTGCTGTGTTTTTTAAGTGATTAATATATCAGTCGTAGTACACAGAATTTATTGCCTTGCTATTTGTATTTGGTGGAGGTTGCTGGCATTTTAATGCTTGTGTGAAGTAGTTGGCAATGAATTAGCACTGTCATCTTTGGCTCTTCTTTAAAGTTATTAAAGTGTTGCAGTAATGTTTCATGCAAGATGTCATGGTCATGCAAGCAGTACCTTCTGTAATTTTTATCTATTTCTAGAGCAGACTTTGCAAGATATAAAGGTAGATTTTACTTTTTTTTCCTGTAACTGGAAGCTTTAACAGTGTAACTAGCTGATAGAAACAAGGTGCGTGGGTTATGCTGTGTTTTTTCTAGAAGCCTGTATCCTAGCTGAAGTATAGTTTGAAAGAGCCCTGTCATAGATGTAGTTGTTCTTATTTTAGCTGATTTCTTTCGAGGACTACCAGTAATACTGGTAAAACTCTCTGAAAAATCTGAGCTCTCATGTGAATCTGTTAAAAGCCATCCTTCCAGGAGAAGAGTGCTGGCTTGTATGTACTGCAGATGTTTTAAAGTAGAGATAAGAGATAATATCATAATTTGCTGCTCCTGAAGCTACTACCACAGTGGTTGCAGTCATATATATCCTGTGCAGTAGGAATAGCACAAAGCAAGAAGTTACAGCTGAAGGTATTTGGACTTGAAGCTGTATAGTCCCTGTCACTTGCCAAGAAATATACCTTACTAGAATTATGCAACTGTATAGATGGTTTACTGGTTCACTAACGTAATACAAGTAAATGTCTTCGCAATGGTGAAATTAGATCAGCCACCATTAAAGAACAGTCTCATGTGAGCTTGCAATGTGCAGTAGGTCTTGGGCTGTGAAGATACAAATGCTTAAGGACTTGCGATTTCAAATCCATGTTTCTTTCTGGGGGAGATAAGTGTGAGGGATCAATTTGAAACTAGTATTTCAGTGGAAGGAGCTCCTTAACATACATTTGCAAACCAGACTTCCACTTCTACTAGGCATTGCCTTTAGTTTCTGAATAGTGGCTATACAGAAATTATTCATTCTGTTCTTTATGAGAATCCAAATAGCGAGAGACATCAGGGACTACTTAGTTTAATAAAGGGATGCGAGTGATATTGCTAAATTTAAATGCTTTCAAGAGTTCAGAGTAAGACTCGACCAGAAGCATAAAATCAGTCTGTTGCCTTGGCTCACAATTCAAACATGAATGTTCTTCCTGTGTGTCATTAAACCAAAGTGTCAGGGGAATAGGAATTACATAGACATCAGTAAAAATGCATGTGCCTATGGCTTGTGTGAAAGGCTGGTGCATTGGTTAAACTGAGGACTCTTAAAAAGCAACAAAAAAACCCCAAACAAACAAAAAAACCCCAAACCACCACCCACCCCCAATTTGAAAAATGATGGCATTCTATGACATTTTACAGTTGTACATAATTTATCTTCTGAGGTGGTTGTCTGCAATAATGAAAATACATATGTGATCCTTAAAGAATTTTACTGGAGTTGCATTATGTGCCTCACAGTGTTCTTGGCTCTTGATTTGATTTTTAATTTGCTTGTTAGGAGTATCAGACTTAACCTTATATTCCAAGAACTTATTTCTGCTTTTAAGGAGAATACTTACAGTAACTACTGTCTTGCTTTCGAGTTATGTTGCAAACCTGTACGTTTTGTAATAGTGGCAGAAAAGCTGCAGTTGAGATGTGGAGTGGGGGGAGGCCTCCATGTGGGCATGAATCTTCTTCTTGTTCTTGTCCGTGTTGTTCCCCCTTCTACCCCTGCAAGTTATCTGGTGTTGTTAAACTTGTTGCATAGAGTAACAAGATCTTAGTGTTTGCTGTAGAAAAGTCTTTTCCCTTTTGGCACTGTGTAAAGCTTTCAGGATCACATGTATCTTCTGTATAACATGGACACTGTCCTTTTTAGGAATTCACAACATCTGGTTCATCGAACACAGACACTGGAAAAGTGAATGGGAGCTTGGAGACCAAATACAAGTGGGCTGAGTATGGGCTGACTTTCACAGAAAAATGGAACACAGATAACACTCTGGGAACAGAAATTGCAATTGAAGATCAGGTAATAGATTACGAGAGTATGTATTTGTTTTACCTAACTAGCAGAACTGAATTTATAGCTTTTATCTTTTCTTTTCTCCCTTCAATTAGATTGCCAAAGGTTTGAAGTTGACATTTGATACAACTTTCTCACCAAATACAGGGTAAGTAGTGTTAACCTTTTTACCTTATTTAGAGCAGTAACAACACCTATGGTCAGTAAATGTTCATCTGGTCTGTTGTATTTACAGAGATGTTTGTGTCATTGGCTATTGATCTGAATTAGCAAATCCCAGTGCTAAAGGCATTTGCTCTTTAGTGTCACATCTTAGTCTACGGGGTTAGTATTGGACATTTCACAACAGCCCATTTTGCTTCTTTTCTGGGATAAAAATACTTGGAAGATTGCAGAAGGCATGAAAATGCCTCTTTGGGGTAGCCCTGTGCTTTCTTGATGGGCTAGCTGTGCTTCAGCCCAGTCTAGAGGATGCATGTGCATGGCATTTAGATAAATCGGGTGGAGTCATATGACTCAAATTTGGTAGTTCACTGGGGAAGATCAAGCCTTGTCTTAAGATAACTGTTTCTCTGTTTCAGAAAGAAAAGTGGTAAAATTAAGTCAGCTTATAAACGTGAATGCCTAAACCTAGGTTGTGATGTTGACTTTGATTTTGCTGGACCTGCAATCCATGGTTCAGCTGTCTTTGGTTATGAAGGCTGGCTTGCTGGTTATCAGATGACTTTTGATAGTGCCAAATCAAAATTGACAAGAAATAACTTCTCTGTGGGTTACAAGACTGGAGACTTCCAGCTGCACACTAATGTGTAAGTACTGAAAATTGTGTTCAGATTTACAGAAGCAGGCTTTCTCTACCTTTCCTTCTAGTCAGAATACAAGTGCTTGAAATACCAAGAGGTGCTTGCAAGGCCATTAAGTGAAGTGCATTTTTCAATTGGAAACTAAATAAATGATAAATGTTACTTTCTGTATCTCTTTTTCAAAACAGTAAACACCCATGGCTTGTTAGCACTTGGAGCATAATACATGCTACAGCTTACTAAATACTGAAGTACATCCAAATTGGAAGTGCGATAGTTCAGTTATGCAGAGCTGATCATATGCTTTTTCCCCTTACGTTGGGTTGTATCTGACTAATAATTTAAGGGCAGTAGATTTGTTAGAGGCAGTAATTAGCATTGCACTGTTTAAGTAGGCCAGTAGCAGTTTCTGGAGCAAGACTAGAGCTTTGCTTTTGGGCTTTTTGAGTAGGTTCATCTTCTTGCCTGTCTGGGATGAAGAGTACATGAAACACTTAAGAGCGTAACTAAACAAGTGTAAGACATCTTGTTTATGAACTTTATTCAGACTTGCTACCTTTAGATCTTAAATGTTCTTCAGACCAAGCTGATCAGAACATGGTGTTTTTAATCCAAGTTAATAAAAATTGGTGGTGTTCTAATACATTTAGTTAGGAACTAACTAACTTGATTTTTGAGGTAGAAGTTTGCCTTTTTGGAGGGGGAGAATGGGGATTGTATCTGTCTGGATTTATGGAAGTTGGGAGGTGTGGGAGGATGTTACAAAACACTTTATAGTCTGAGCTGTAAGAATTCTCTTTCAGTCAGACATTGTGACAGGCTTTTAAAGAGGTCATCTAATTCTTTGGGAGCATGTATTTATGCATTCAATAATCATAGAATTCAGAATGCCTGTTAGTTTTGTGGGGATGTGATCTGGAGTTACATTCAAGTACTTATTTCAGTATTATGTTTGTCTACCTTTCTGTTGAAAAACGTGAAACAGCTCAAACTTTTGAAATTCTTATTTGAATAAAAATTTGAACTAGTAAAAAAAATATTTGGATTATGTAAATATAGGAAACTAACTTTTTTCTTAACTTGTGCAGCAATGATGGTTCAGAATTTGGTGGGTCAATTTACCAGAAAGTGAGTGACAATCTTGAAACTGCTGTAAACCTGGCTTGGACAGCAGGTAGCAACAGCACTCGATTTGGCATTGCGGCTAAGTACAAGTTGGATTCCACTGCTTCTATCTCTGTAAGTATGGCTGTAACTAAAGGGGTTATGCTAAGCACAGTTTATTTTCAGTCTCTGCGAATCTGTGTGTTACGGGTACAAAAGAAGGTAATAGGTCGGGAAATCTTGTAGGACTTTTACAGTCCAGGCAGTTATAATTAAACCAGCGGTATTTAAATTCTGTGATGTTGCATACAGCAAAGTCTCTTTTAGAATCTGACTGTCAAATGTGCTGCTGTAGAGGACTTTATGTATTTATTTAAAAAAAACCCCACAACTCAAACAACCAAAACCTTCATGTCTAGTTCCATAAGTTTACATAATTTTTTTAAAACCAGTTTTTGGGGAGCTTTGTCATGTTCTGCTGATAAGAACTCTTATGTAACACTTATAGTGGTTGAAAAGACAATATGCAGAAAAATTTTCTGTATGTTTTGTAGTTAGAATTTAACCTGGATTGGTGTTCATCCTATAGAGGAAGTGATGAATAATTTTGTACATATCGTTTATGATGATATTGTGAAATGATTTGCTGCTTGACTGATTAAGCCTGCAAGATACTAATTCTTTTTTTTAAACATACGAACATGGAGGATTCTTCTAAAGTGGCTTGTTTTGGGAGGCTGTGGTGGTAAATTCCTATGGCCTTCTGAAAAGAGCGAGGGTGGAAGTTCACCTGCCAAACTACATTCCAGGAACAGTTCTCCCTGCCCTTAAGTCCTGTCTGCTGTTAGATACTGTTGCTTCTTCAGCTCTAAGTGGTGGGTTAAGGGTGTAGCTGGAAAGAGAGAATCCCGTAAACACAGAGATACTGAGTGAAATTTGGTTAAGTTGGTAACTGTGGCAACACTGCAATTATTCTAGCTTCTGAATGGTAACAAAGAACTGATCAGTTACAGTATTTCAATTGCTTTTGTCTTGGGTGTTTTTCAGGCAAAAGTGAACAACTCTAGTCTAGTTGGAGTGGGTTACACCCAGACCCTGAGGCCAGGTAAGGGTTGTCACGTGAATTATATCAAACACTGTCTTTTATGCGTCACAAAGAAAATCTTTGAGATCTATGCATTTATATGCAACTTTTTCCTTTCTTCAAAATAATTTTGTCTTGAAGGCAAAGTAGATGTTTACAGTAGCTTGTGTTGTGCATCAAACCTTTATCTAAACAAGACAAATTGCATTGTATCTAGTAGTATTTCTGCATCATACTTCTCATTGATCTGTGTAGGAGAGGTCTGTATTGTGTTGGACAGCTTAGCTTTAGGCTGTGTGCAGCAGTCTTTTCTTTTTTTTTTTTAGCATTGCTTTCTCCAGTCATATCATATTGAATCATAGCAGGTCTTGAAATAATGATTGTCAAAAGAACACACGTCGTGCTCTTTGTATTTAGTAAAAATACCTCCAGAACGTAACTTGTTCTGAGTAAATGTGAAAACACATGTCAATGCTGTATTGTCATTGGTTAGTTCCTTATTTGGAAACCTATAAAAATTGTAGTTTCATTCCATCTCTTCCTTAGTACAAGGGTCTGTGTTTCTATGCATAATTTTCCACCTTTGCACACCTTAATGTAGAAAGGGAGAGGTCTTGTGTACTTACAGTTAGAGACTTTGTATATCTGCTTTACAACACTGTCTTTACAAAAAGCATCTATCTTGATTCACATGACGAGCTTTCAATAGATTTCATGGGTAAATGGATTCTTCTGTAGAAATCTTTAGAGGATAGTAACGAAATAGAAAACTGGGACTTGTAACGCTGGAGGTTGAGGTGCATGAAAGCCACTTTGATTGTATGTTGTAAACATGCTGTTTAAAAATCTTACAGGTGTGAAGCTTACCCTGTCTGCCCTGTTAGATGGAAAGAGCATCAATGCTGGTGGCCATAAACTTGGTCTTGGCCTGGAATTGGAGGCTTAAAAAGGTGAAGAAGCTGCTGCAGAGAAGGGATATCAGAAGAATTTGGCCTTAAAATGTATTTCCAATGTGACCAGCAGGCTTTTTTTTTTTCCCCAAGAAGGATGACCTAGAACAAGAGCTGTATTTGAAGTATTTAGACAGTTACTTGTTAGCTGGTTTCTAGTTAAATTGGTTACCCATCTAGTTAAAATTCTGCATTAGTGCAGTCACTTAAACATTATTTAAATGTATTTAACTGTTTAATGCGCTCCCCACAAACAATGAAATAGACATTTATGAAAACTGTACAATTGTGTGCATGTTTGTTTTTATGTTCCTTTTAACATTCGATATTGCCATTGAATGAAAAATGGATCAGTGGATGTTTTGAAATGAGGTCAATGATTTTGTTAAATCACCTGAAGCAGAAATACATTTGGTATCCCAAGACAAATTATGAATAAAACAAGTACACACACATACTTGTGCCTCAGATATTTTAAGAGTTAAGAGGGTAGTGCTCAGTTAAGTTTTAACTTGAAATAATCCAAGAAGTAGTGCTCTATACCTTTGTGCAATTAAGGACTCCCACCTCACCTGTGACAACACTGAATATCGATGGTTTTCACTGAAGAGTTGGATTCCTCAAGCAAGTTGAATGTGCTTTCTATTGGGTAAGATTTGTCATGACATGATGGTTTTAATTTCCCCCTGTGTTCCATAGGCAAGATTTACCGCGTTGCTAGTTGGCCTGTTGCAGAGTGCAGAATGATGTACTTGGCACACAGAGATGTTTAAGAACTGCTCCTTGATGCTTTTGCTCAGGGGGTGAAAAACCTCACCACAAGCACACCTTTTGCTTATATTTGTATGAAGTGAGACGTATCTCTGCAACTGAATGTAACAGTGTAATAGTATAACAGCCTGCTTATCCCAACTGCTGTGAGAGGTTTCTGCTTAAAATGGCTGAAATAAAGGCTTCATTTTAAATGGAGATGGAGGAAAATGCATCCGATTTTGCTTTCCTTTTGACTAATAAATCTTGGCAGATACCCATTTAAGTCCAGAAACATGCAGAATAATGGAAAAAACTCTCATGTTTTTCCAGGGTAGGATTAAGAGAGAACAGAAGATTAAGGGATATCTGATCTGTGAACATAACATCCCTTGAGGTCGAGCATAACTAGCTGGGAATGCTTTTAATGTGGAATATATTAAATACACGTAGTTACAGTGATTACATGTAAGAATGGGGATTTACTGAGTCCAGGGGAGTGCCTGGAGCCTACTTCATACAGTCTCTTATAGTTAAGAAGGGTATCTTGATACTTAAGTCTCACAATCTGTAGTTCACAGAAGCTTTCTTTATAGGGCAGGTGGCTAGCTTATGATCAGGGTGCTTTATCTCTAGTTTACAAGCTGTAATCAGTTCATGCTGGATTAAGACTTAACCCCCATAAAAGTCCTAGTGATTTGCTTGGGGTCTTGTTCTGTCCTGCATTGTTGCCCTCATACGCAAACTCTTAAGTACTCAGTTGTAAACTGCCTGTGTTTAGGCTTTAGCTGTGGAATAGCTGAGCCACCTTTTCAGAAGATAGAGCAGAGCTTGAGCTTTCAGCTCAGGCTCGCTTGTGTGTTTGACTAGTTTTGTTACATGTCAAAGAGAAGGTTTGGCAGCATTTGTGCTTCGGAGTACCTTTGCTGCTGTTGTCCCTAAATGCTCTTTTCTGAGGAGTGCTTCCACTGCTTGGTGATGGAAGAAGCATGTAAGGTGCAATTTGGTGCTTTCTTACTGCATGTTAACATAAACTCTATTTTTAGTTTGAAGTGTTTTTACTTGCTAGACCATTTAAAGCTAGGGACTGTGTGGCCAGACATGAATTTCAGTATGAGTTTTTCTTACCACCTTGGTGCTTCAGAAAGTGTGTCCAGGCTTCTTCTCAAAAAGAAATGCTGTGTGCCTATAAACATGGTCCAGCTGTAGGACCTGGGCAAATAAAGGACTCTGTCCTTTGTTTATGAAAGATGCCTTGTTTGCATCCTTAAACCAGCATGGTTGCAACACTGATGTCTCCCAGTTCTTGGAAGTGGTCTGACAGGTGTTTGTTTTTTTTTGGTGGTAGTGTTTTATTTTGGAGGGTTTTTTTAGAAACAACTACTCTGTTTTCTTCACTACCTGCTCACCACTAGCTGTTTTTCCTGAGGTCACAAAATGGGGAAGTGAAATAAAATAAGGTACTGCAGCGTTTCTCCCCAACTCTTCATAAAAATTAGTAACGGAAAGCTTGAACCCATTCATTTTAGTCAGTTTTCATGTGCATCACTTTACTAGTCCTCAGCCTTTGTTTAAACCTTAAGTAGTTTTGTTTGTTACAATGCTGATAGGCAACTGGAGAAATAAAAGGGCTCTGCAGTAGTTAAGACAACTGACAGTGTGAGTTTTCCTAAAATATTTTGTCATAAATCACTACTTTGAACATGAAAATGGAAGTTCATTGTCCATCTCTTGATGTCTCTCAAGTGAGGGTTATAAAAATGGCTTTGAGACTTTTCAAGTGTGTTAGGGAAGGTGGTGGTGAATTGGAATTTTGTGGCAAAGAGTGTCGGTAGTTTAAATAGCTCCATTTTGTTAGAACATGTAAAAAGGCTTAATGATGACTTTCAGTGCTAGCCAGTCCTTCCTCAGGTGCCCTTCTGAATAAAACAAAAACACTTGAGATAACCAGTGACCTGATCATGGCTGTGTGTCTTGTTTGTGTGAACTGTAGCATTGCCTTCCTGCCTGGTACAGCTGGAGTAGGGGCGGGCTGTCTGCATATTGCAAGGAGACTTACTTATGCTTTATAAATAAAAATCCTTTCACATGAGATTATGATGCTGTGGATTTTGCAACTTACTGAGTGACTCAGACTTTTATGTTCTTCCTGTGCTGCAGAAATTCTCAAGGTTCGTTTCAATTAACCTTGCACTCTTCACGTGGTTCAGCTTGCTGTGGTATATTCTTAAATGCCTCTTGCATGCTGTGGTCTTTCAAAACCAGGAAATTTGCAGCTATTTCAGAACAGGCATGGAAACCTTTCCCTTCCCAAGCATTGAAGCATGGTTTTTTACCTTTCCGTTAGCTATCGCTGGGACATGAGAGGGCAGCGACAGTGCGCTTACTGCCCTTTCATGTCCTCCTCTGGTGTTTGGCTTATTACTGGAACAGGCTGCCTGCTGGGCACAAAGATGCGTTTACATCTACGGTGGCTGCACTTCCAGAGGAAGTAGAACGGAGCAAACAGAAGACAGCCCTTGCACGGGTGATTCAGCCCAGCTTATGTCAAAGGTCCTGGTTTCCTTATCATACCAGTCAGCAAAGACAGAAGCAATTCTATGCAAGGTAAGCCACTAATGATGGTAAATACTGGGTCATGCCTGCGGCAGCAGTGTCTTCATGGCAGGTACAAATGCTTCCTGTGAACTGGCAGAAGGGAAAATCCAAAGAAAAAGCTGGTTGTGTTATGTGGCATGAAAGAGCTACGTTTGTTGCAAGTGATTTTGTGTTTGTCAGCCTCCCTTTGCAGTGGAATATTTCTGTTCCTGATCTGGAATAGGAATAAAAGCAGAGATTCTATCAATTATTCTAGTGTATATTCATTGTGTTTTAGTGATGTTTCCCTTCTTGTGATTGTTCCTGGGCCTTTTAGTTGCCATTTCTGTTCTTCTTTCCATGTGCTGCTGGGTCAAATGGAATGCAATGAACAACTGAACTAATTTTTTTATGAGCCTAACATACAGCGTCTTTACTTCAGCTATGAGTTTGGTACTGATGCTTGTGTAAAAAGAGGCAAACTTTTTTCTTTACACAGCAATTTCTGAAAAATAATATGCAATTAAAACTTACAAAAAAATGCTATTAGACAAAATGTAGGGTGTTGTGAGGCTTCGTTTATATCTATGCTTGTATTTACCTATTGCTGTTGGGAAAAGTGCTGACAGACCTTTAAAGGTGGCAAGCAGTCAGACTTTGATTTCAGCTCCAAACATTTGACCTTTACTACAGCATGTGTGTTTTAAATGAGAATTTTCTGCTGAAACCAACACTATGGCAATACAGTTACCGCTTGTTAACAGTAGTGCACACATAAATTTTTCAAGGGTTTGTGGGTGTTTTCATGGGATGTTCTTTGTCCTGGATCTGTGGGGAAAGACCCTGAAACTGAAGTAATGGCTCTGTTTCGTGCGTTTGTATTGATAGCAACTCGGTACCTTTTTTTACTTTGCCTGTGCTCTTGTGAGCATTAAGATGAAAAGGCTGTTACAAAAATCTCACGAATCTGACTTTATGTGCTTCATGGGGTGGGTTCGGGTGTGGAGTGCTATCTGTGAGCGGGAGCAAGCACCAATGAGCTCTCTCCTTGGGTATTTTATTCCTACCTGGTGGCATTAAAAATACACCCTAACTGAGCCCTTCTTAGGCACACATGACATCTTCATTTAAGAAATAGCGAATTTTGTGATGCTGCGTTTCAGGCTTGGCTGCCCTGTGGGTAAGGGCTGTGGGGAGGGGTATTTTTTTCCGCACAGGTGCGACTGAGCAGCCGCTGGGAGCGCGTGGCTGTAACGCACTGCTGCTCGCCACCCAAGGCGGTGACTGCCCGGCGGGAGCCGGAGCGGGG